TGTTTTGATATGTAAGTTGTTCGGGTTTTTTTCGTCTAAAAAAGCGACATTAATTTCTTGACGAACTAATATAAGTCAATAATTCTAATACTATAGAACACATTAATTGTAAATAGGCCATCAAATGATCACTATATAACAATAATAGAATTAATACAAATCAAGAACTTTCACACTGAGACTAAATAAAAACAAAAACATTACTGATTCCAAAAATTGCTTTGCTGTTAGTCGTTAGGAAGTTATTTCCATTTCTTTTAAACAAATAATTCACTTTGCATAAGTTGGAATAATTGACCCAATGTTGGGAAGGCAATTACCCTTAATATGTAGATATAAAATAACCTTAAAGTAGAAATAAACCACCCTAAACTTCTACAATGTATAACCCCAAACCTCCATCCTTTGTAATTGAATAGCAAAAGACAGTAAGGGTTGAGACGTTGTGGGTTCAAGCTCTCAGCTCCGAGCCCTTAACTAATTATCCTTAGTTGCTGGCTAGTTTGATACCTGCGTGTGGGTCTTGTCTGATCGAAGGAATATCCCCAATTGTGCGTTTGGAAGCTATAGCTATAGACACTTTCCGCTATAAGTTAATGATGACGTTAAGAACTGATAATGGATTTTTTTTAGTCTAATTGGGAACGTTTTTGATATATATATATAATAGATTTTAATATTTTGGTGCTCACAGTTATTCCAACGTATACAAAGTGAAACGTAACAATGTATTGTTTTAAAAAAATGCTAATATATTCTAACTATTAGGAGTAAAGCAATTTTTGGATTCAGTAATGTTTAATTTATAGATGAAATACTTCCAAGTATTATTAAAGCACCATAAGAAACTTGTTGAATTTTATACATCATTAAAATATTTCGAAGTATTATCTAAAGCACCATAAGAAACTTGTTGAATTTTATACATCATTAAAATACTTCCAAGTATTATTAAAGCACCATAAGAAACTTGTTGAATTTTATACATCATTAAAATACTTCCAAGTATTATTAAAGCACCATAAGAAACTTGTTGAATTTTATACATCATTAAAATACTTCCAAGTATTATTAAAGCACCATAAGAAACTTGTTGAATGTATTGTACACTATTCTACCTACCTTTCTCAGTTGTACCTATACAGTCGTGAAAAGTAGAGAAGAACATCAAAAGAAGACCCTGAGTCCAACGAAGTATCATACTTAACTAGTTGCTTATTGAAGACGGGTGTGTGTATTTTACAGTTTAAAATTTACAAATTACAGCCATTTGTATTACCCTTTAGAAGGTTTACGTTTCTTGAAGACGTAGAATGGCTGAGGTAAGTATCGTATTCTAGTAATCGTCCCTTCACAATTCTGATCACTACTTGCTCTGGAATAACGATTCACCGCTCTATCTTACAAATGTTTGAACAGATATATAACCAAACGGTACGGTGTCAGCAAAGAGATAGCTACGCTACTGACTTATAAAGATGTGATCTGCGGCTTTGACGGCGGCTACCGCAACTTTAATCATTGATTACTGTCGCTCAGCGCCCTCTACATCAATAAACTCATGGTACGCATATCCTTCAACGCTCTCTCGAGAGAAGATTTACTGAGGGAATTAACACATGCTAAGTGAAGCAAATATATATATATATATATAAAAAAGCAGTTGTTTATACTTTGTTCGTAGTTTGTATAACTGGGAAGGGCAATTAATCCACGCTATAGAAATATTGTGTTTCTGGTAAGGAAAGCTATTACTATAAAAAAGATGGAATGCTACTAAGCCAAAGCTAATTTAGGCAAAGCCCATATATCAGAATTTACCCTTTGAATATCTACAATGACTACAGAAAATAGTCTGGGAAATGCATGAATAATTTCCAACAAACAAATAGGAAATACCCTGTTATTACAATGTTTTGTTATATATTATTCACAAGAGCATACGTAGGTGTTTTCTCATATTCTAACTTCGACCACGTGGGTTTTCTTTTATTCGATAATATTAACACTATTTCTTTGAAGTTGTTTGTACGAAAATTAGTTAATTGTATTAACCTATCAAGAAAAAGAAAAAAAAAGGGGGGTTACGAAACGTTTTCTGAATACCGGAACAAAACATCTGCAAAATGTGGATGGTCGATTTAATATATACATCTGTATATAGTAATAAACATAGAAAATATGTACTTAACATTATCACGTGTAAATTAGCGAAGGTTATCAGCAACCATCAACCAAAGAAACGAAACAAATGTAAAAAAAAAAAAAATACTATAAAGTCATAAGTGGTACGTAACAGCGTATTAGGATTCAAAAGGCGTTGAAGACAACATGGCTATATTTTATTTTGTTTCTGTTTTATTTTTTAGCTCGTGTTTTTTTTTCTTTGCTATTGTGTATTATGAAATGTAATTATATTTGCTTTTGGTTGGGTTGTTTATTTGTTCTTTGATTTTATTGCTAAGCAACTTCTTCACCATAAGAAGCTGTCGACAATGAAGATGTTATGAAGTTAAGATCAGGACATTATGGGTCCAAACACCTGAATCAGGGCCTGTCTTAATGTTAGTACTCAGTTAAGACGTTATAGAACTTTTGTCATTTATCATTATGGGTTCAAACACCTGAATCAGGGCCTGTCTTAATGTTAGTACTCAGTTAAGACGTCATAG